GAAAGCCAGAGGGAGAGACAGACACAGATCTCCCATCATTCCCCGACAGCTGTGCAGTAACCAGGTCTGGGCCAGGCCCCCCATCTGGATCTCCCGTGGGTGACAGGGGCCTGAGCATCCGGGCCACACCACCTGCTCTTTCTCAGATGCATTAGCAGGGAGCTGAATCGGAAGTGGAGCAGCGGAGACTTGAACGGCCGCTTCAACACGAGATGTCCCAGGCAGCGGCTAACTCCCTGCGTGTTCTCCACATTACAGTGGTGGGAGAGAAGGGACGTTTCTAAGGTTTGCCTACATCCACATTTATTGGCATTGGCCCCCACTCTGCAAGGAGAACAGCTCCTCAGAGGGCAATCCATGCCTTGGTTTTAGGCAGGCAGACATTCCCCAGTATTTAGCTCCAAAGACTCCCCATGCTACGGCGGCTCCTTGGGGTGGCACGTTCTGAATCCTTCCAGATGAGCTCAGGCAGATCGCACAACGAGCCCGAAACAAAAGCCAGCAATTGTCACCCCACAACTCCGATGAGCATTGATTATCCTCGGGAGGAACCGTGGCCTTCACGGCAGCTTTCCTGAGCAGGGCCACAGCCTTTCCTGCAGCCTACCGAGCAGATTTCTCGGGTACCTGCTGGGGGCGGGCTGATTTTCTATGTCCTGGCTTTCCAAGTGTGTGTGTGGGGGGGGGGGTCTGAAGTAATACAGAAGGGTCTATGTAACTCAAGTCCAAGGACTCACGTCCTACTACCCCACCTCCTGTCAGCCAGTAGTTCGACAGCAACACCTTCAGAAGCCCCCACTGTTAACCCTGTTACCTGATAGCTTCAGCCACTCCCCTCCCGCCCCCTCAAAATACTGGAAAATAAAACTGGGCTCTACGGCACGTAACCTACAGCAGTTTGTGCATGTCCCCTAGTTTGTGGGTGTCCACTTGCTCAGAATGTGCCCTGCGGTCCCTGCGTTCTGTGACGCTGGTAGTGATGTCTCCAGTCATTTCTGGCTTCAGCTAACTTTTTTCTTGGCCACTCTAGCTAAAGGTTTGCTCACTTCGCTACACTTTTTGAAGAACCAACTTGCGGTTTCGTTCATTTTTCTTCTGCTGGTCTGTTCTCTATTACTTCCTGCTCGGATTGTATTTTTTGAAAACATGCTTTTTGTCCTTGCCTGTGAGTGTGTAGCCGGCCAACAGAAGCACGCTGCCGGGTGGGGGACATTTTCATTACCCCTTTGGTCTTTTTTTAAAGATTTATTTATTTATTTGCAAGTCAGAGTTACACAGTGAGAGGTCTTCCACCCACTGGTTCACTCCCCAGTTGGCTACAATGGCCGGAGCTGCACCGATCAGAGGCCAGGAGCCAGGAGATTCTTCCAGGTCTCCCATGTGGGTGCAGGGGCCCAAGGACTTGGACCATCCTCTACTGCTTTCCCAGGCCACAGCAGAGAGCGGGATTGGAAGTGGAGCAGCCAGGACTTGAACCAGGGCCCGTAGGGGATGCCGGCACTGGAGGCGGCAGCTTTACAGACTACGCCACAGTGCCAGCCCCAGTGCCGGACCTCCTCTTCCCTGGTTCTCCTTTCTACCGTTCTGTGATACAAGCCTCAGGAGCTTCTGCAGTCTGGGCCATTTTTTTTTAAACATTTATTTACTTGTAAGGCAGAGAGAGTGAAAGGGAAGGAAAATCTTCATCCACTGGTTCATTCCCAAAATGGCTGCAGTGGCGGGGGCTGGGCCAGGCTGAAGCCAGGCGCCAGGAGCTCCACCCGGTCTCTCACACGGCTGGCAGGGGCCTTCTCTGTTGCCCTCCCAGGCGTGTTAGCAGGGAGCTGGATCAGCAGCAGAGCCACAAGGCCGGCCCCCTGTGCCAATCCTGATGTTTGTCCTTCCACGCGCTGGTCATAAAAGCCCAGAATACACGGGTTTGCGTGGCTCAGGTTAGGGACTCTCGTGGGCGCCTTTTGGCCCCATCCACATCCCTGGCCACACAGCCGGTTTCCTGGCTGTCCCGGGGTGGCTGGCAGGAGTCTCCTCATCTCCTTCCAGGTCCGGCTCTCTTCCCCCAGGAGACAGGACTCATGCAGCCATTCTGCACCTGGCAGGGTCACGGCCACTCTCACATCCTCGCCTGCAAGGCCTCAGGGCCCCCGGGGGCAGTGTTGGCATCGACTGCTACCACTCCGGCTCTTTTCTTGTCCTTGAATTTTCTTCCTCCCCCTCCTCTCCCTTCTCCCACCTGCCCGCCAAGCTCGGGTACACTTGAAAACGTGTTTGTTCTGTCCTGGCCACAGTTTCCTTGTCGGGCTGGCCAACGTAGTTTGCCACATTGTCAGAAGTCTCCTTAGCTCCGTCTAGAGCAGTCTTAGGTCCATGACAAAACTGAGAAGGGACAGAGATTTCCCAGCTGCCCTTGGCCCTCACATACAGAGCTCCACCGTCAACACCACACCGAGCGTGGTAACACCGGTTACAGCTGAAGCAGCCTCACCAAAGCCCACGGTTCACGGCGGGGTTCATTAGTTGAGCCGTAGGTTCTGTGGGTTTGGGCAAATTCCCGATGTCACGTGCTGACACTCATGGCTTCACTGCCCCCCCAACCCTCTGTGCTTCACCCATACGCGGTCCACGGCCGCTGGAATCACACAGTATGTGGCTTTCCCAGGCGGGCTTCTCTCCCCAACTTGCTAGCACTGAGCAATGCTGTCTGGACGCCCGGCAGCTTCTCCAGTCACTGCAGGATGTCTTGGGCACTTCCAAGACTGGGCAGTTACGAACAAAGCTGTGTAGACACGTAACACGTGTGCAGGGCCTTGTGTGGACGCCGACTTCCGCTTCCTTTGGGTAAACACTGAGAACTGTAACTGCTGGCTCCTACGCCAAGCGCACCGTTCCTGTGGCTCCACATCCTCGCCAGCATCTCCCGCTGTCGGCCGTCGGCGCGGGACTGCAGCCACTCTAACAGGCGTGCAGCGGCGTCTCGCCGCCCCCGTCTGCGGTGTCCCGAGAGCCGTATGGCGCCCAGGTGTTCCCTGGCTCGTCTGCCCGCCGTGTGTCTTCTCTGGTGGACCGTCCAGCTGTGCTGCTCATTGTACATTTGCTTATTATTCTTACTGCTGCGTCGGAAAGAGGTCTCTAGCCTGAATGACGGCACTCGCTCAGCGGTGGTTTGCAGCATGTTTTCTCCCGGTCTGTGGCTTATCTTCTCATTCTCTTAATTTTCATTTATTTTTTTTTTTTAAAGAAAGAAAGAAGGAAAGAAGCCTAGACAGGCAAAGTTACTAAGAAATTCACAGACGTCTAGGCACAGAGCCAGATAGAGACAGAGTCTCCTCCAGAATCCAAGTGTCTGAATCGTTCACTGCAGGTCCAAATTTTGAGGCGTTTCAATACAAAAAGCTAGTCGTTTCTGAAATTCCTTCTTTCTGACACCATTCACAAACCGTCCAAGTGAAAAGGGCCTCACAGCACTGTGTGGACGTCACGTTCCTTCCTGCGAGTTCAAGAAAGGCTGTGCCGTGTCCGCGCGGGACCTCTAACCCGCGGAAAAGCTGTCGCGCTTTAAGCAGTCGTGGTGCTGAGCAGCCATGGTGTTTGGGGAAGGCAACCACAGGGTTACAGGCGCCACGGGGTGCACGTCACACAGCGTGTACGTCACACCGAGTGTACGTCACTCAGAGCGTACGTCACACAGCGTGTACGTGACACAGCGTGTATGTCACAGGGAGTGCACGTCACACAGAGCGTACGTGACAGAGCATACGTCACACAGCGTGTACGTCACACCGAGTGTATGTCAGAGTGTACGTCACACCGAGTGTATGTCACACCGAGTGTACGTCAGAGAGTGTACGTCACACCGAGTGTACGTTACACAGAATGCATGTCACACAGAGTGTATGTCATACCGAGTGTACATCACACTGAGTGTACGTGACAGAGTGCATGTCACACGGAGTGTACGTGACAGAGTGTACGTCACACAGCGTGTACATCACACAGCGTGTACGTCACAGTGCGTACGTCACACAGAGTATATGTAAAGAGGAGGAGGCATTAAAAAACCAGAGGGGGGCCGGCGCCCCGGCTCACTTGGTTAATCCTCCGCCTGCGTTGCTGGAATTCCATGTGGGCACCGGGTTCTAGTCCTGGTTGCTCCTCTTCCAGGCCAGCTCTCTGCTGTGGCCCGGGAGTGCAGTGGAGGATGGCCCAAGTGCTTGGGCCCTGCACCCCATGGGAGACCAGGAGAAACACCTGGCTCCTGGCTTCAGATAGGTGCAGCGCCGGCCATAGCGGCCATTTGGGGAGTGAACCAACGGAAGGAAGACCTTTCTCTCTGTCTCTCTCTCTCACTGTCTAACTCTGTCAAATAAAGTTTTAAAAAATTTTTACCAAACCAGAGGGGGCCGCTGTCGTGGCGTGGTGGGTCAGGCCAGCACCTGCAACGTGGGCCTCCCGCTCTGGAGCACTGGCTCCGGTCCAGCTGCTCTGCTTGTGATCCAGCTCCCTGCTAACGCACCTGGGAAAGCAGCAGAGGACGCCCACGTCCTGCACCCACATGAGAGACCCGGATGGAGCCCCTGGCTCCTGGCTTTGGCATGGCCCAGAACTGGCTGTTGTGGCCACTTGCAGAGTGAAACCAATGGATGGGAGATTCCTTTCTGCCCTTTTCTCTCTGCCCTTCAAATAAATCATCTTAAAAATAAAAAATAAATTTAACAAGCAGTGAGAAAAGTGGATCTTTAGGAAGCTGGATCTCCACTCCTCAGGCTAATAAACAACAAAAATACCTGTGTGAGAGAAGAAGTCTAAAGAACACAGACGTGAAATGCCGCATCCCAGAGAGAGCCTGCTGCGGTCTTTCCAGTAAGTTCACTGCCCCAGGTCACCAGGGAATCACCTGGCTGTGCCCGGGGCTGTGCCTTCCGCTGAGAGTACCGCATGGGGGGTTCTGGGAAGTAAAGGGCTCTCAGCGCGGTAAACGGATGGCACTACTTCAAACACGGGGCCACGTTTCTACAGTCTTTTTTATTTCCCACCTCATGATACAATCATTTGGCATTAAAACTGAAAAACAAGGCAAGAAAACCAGGAATAAAAAGTGAAGACATTTTTCTATTATAGTCAAGCATTTGTCTGGGCTGATTAGCTAACAGAAAAAGAATAGTAGGAAACCCAACTTCAAATGTGAAATTCAAAATGCTTCCAAAGAAAATCAGAAATCAGCTCTGCTCACCCCGAGACCAGGAGCTCAATGAGTGTGAGGCCACAGGGTCTGAAGTCCAGGGCTTAGCCTCACCCCTGTCCCAGACTCCAAACCGACCCGGAGAACCGGCCAGACTCACTCCTCCCAGGCCTCCGCCGGGCACTGCAGCAAACTAAAGACCTTCTTCTTGGTTTTCTTGTTTTAAGCTGAAGTGTCTCTTCTCACACACTGTCACATAAAATGGGGATTTCCACTCTGTTCTCCTCCCTGCCACCTCATCCAAAAATAAAAACAAATCTGAGAAGCTTACATAAAACTGGCTTTTAAAACTCAATAAGGCAAGATGTGTCAGAGTTACACCTGACGGGTTTGAAAGAAGATTTTAAAACAGGGAGATGGGGGGTAGGGGACCAACCCAGAAAAACAGTGCTTCCCCAAAACACTGAGACCGGCAGGCATGGTGACAACCACAATTTCTAAATTGTGATGTTTGGACTTCGGTAGCAATGCCGTGTTTTTCCAAAGCCAACTTCTGGAAATCTCAACCTGGATTCCCAAAAACTCCTAGCAAAACGAACCAGCCGCCAGTTAGAGGCTGTTGTGCAAGACAGATGGGCAATTCCACTTGCAAAGGTTCACCAACAGAAACCAAGGCCGCACACGGGGGCCGGTCCAGAGCACCTCCCGCTCGCCCCAACGCTGCCGCTCTGCGTTTCTCCCTGCGTCCTGGCTGCAACTTAATCAACTGAGACTCACGAAGATCCGCCACGAGGAGGAAACTTTGGCGTCTGCATAGCAGGAGCAAAGCAAGAAATCAACACGGGCTCCCGTAAAGTGACCGAAAGGTTAAAAAAAAGCCCAAAACCCAAAACCAAAGAACCTTCATCTGGATCCTCTCAAGAGGCCAAGGAACAGCTGAGAGCCACCTTCAACCCCAGCTCGAGTCGCAGGCCAAAGTCACCGAGGCCTGGCCGCGCCACAAGCTGGTTTCGCTCCATGCCTTTCCCAACAGCCACCGCTCGCAGCGGGGCCGGGAATGTGCTCCGCAGGCCTTTTCCATCGCTGCTCCAAGCTGCCTGGATCCAGCACCTCGTGCGCTAAGAAGCTTGCAATGACTTCATCTATTCTCACCTCTGGTGCCAGAAATGGGAATGGCTTAGTAAGCACAGCTTACGGGTGCCACAGCGCTTCTGCAGGCTTCACAGCTCACGCCGGCCTGGGGGGTTCTCAATGGTTCCCCTGTATTTGCTCACTCCATCTGCCAGGCAGGACTACTGCCCTTTGCCCGACAAAGGACACAAGGAAATTTCTAGCTGAGACTTAGAAAGAAACTTGCCTCCTGGTGACACCAGGTTTAAAAGAACAAAAGAAAGCTTATTCTCCAGGGCTGGAGAGAGGGAAAACGCCAACACCAAACTCCACTTGAGCCTCTGTGGGTTCTGCAAGAGTCAAGCTGAGTTCAGAAGCCGGATCTCTTCCGACCAGCCGAGACCCAGTGTGCAGTCACAGGAAGAACAGGTTCTCACACAGCTGGATGGCCGGCTCATGGTGCAGGATCTGTCCAGACAGGAAGGCTAGCTTGTGGGCATATTTGCAAGGAGCTGGGACTCGGATGGTGCCGGGCCAATTCCAGTACATGTGGCACAGTTTGAACGTCAACCTGTAGGCCAAGAAGAAGACACGATCCTTATCACCCTCCGCCGTCAATCTGGGCAATGCTTACTGCCTTCGGGGATGCTGCTGCTGCAGCCGACTCACCCGGACGGGCATCGAGGAATCCACGCTACTGCTAAGTGCAACAGCTCCTACTGCGCTGTTCGTGAGGCAGAGGACGTGGGAGAACTCCCTTGGGGCGTTTCCCTATTTTTATGTCGCAACGAGGAAAATAACACAAAAAGTCTATTTTGTCTACAACAATGGCTGCAGAAGGGTGAGCCCCCGGCAGAGTGACGTCAGGGGCTGTGCGGCTCCGGGGCAGCTGTATGCTCTCATCACCCGGAGCAGCCTCCTACAACACCAGTGACCGGCGCGTCAGAGTCTTTGAAATTTCTTAAGTGATCTCACTGCAAGACTAGGCTAACTCTTGGGAGAGGGATGAGCCAGTGTCGTCACCGGGGCAGGCAGTGCCTCACCTCAGCCAGCTGCCAGAATTACGTCCAAGTGAGAAAGAGTGAGTTACTCATCAACTCACCTCTGCATGTGGTCAGGGCTCAGGTTCGCCGTGTTGAGCACGCAGACATAATGTGTAGGAATGCCACAGCCCTGCCGCACATGGTGCGCCAGAAGGTAGAAGTCCACCCTAGCCAGGGAAAAGCGCAAATTAGCGATATGGCCAACGCGCACAGACAGAGCTACACAAGTCTCAGAGGTCATTCTAGTTCCTCTGCTGACGCTCAGAGAGGTCAAGTGAGTAGACCAAGGACATGTCAAACCGAAAGACCAAACCAAGATCAAAAATCAGGTCACTTTTGGCCAGCGCCATGGCTCACTAGGCTAATCCTCCACCTGCGGCGCTGGCACACCGGGTTCTAGTCCTGATTGGGGCTATGGATTCTGTCTCGGTTGCTCCTCTTCCAGTCCAGCTCTCTGCTGTGGCCCGGGAAGGCAGTGGAGGATGGCCCAAGTGCTTGGGCCCTGCACCTGCATGGGAGACCAGGAGAAGCACCTGGCTCCTGGCTTCGGACTGAGGCAGCGTGCCAGTCGTAGCGGCCATTTGAGGGGTCAACCAATGGAAGGAAGACCTTTCTGTCTTTCTCTAACTCTGCCTGTCCAAAAAAAAAAAAAAAAAAATCAGGTCACTTCATTCAACAGACTATTTAAGAATGGTGGTTGGGGGGCTGTCGCCTAAGATGCTGGAAACCCATACTGGTGTCAGTTTAAGTCCCAGCTGCTGCACTTCTGATCCAGGTCCCTGCTAATACACCTGAGAAGGCAGCAAAAGACGGCCCAAGTACTTGGGCCCTGCACCCACGTGGGAGACCCAGGTGAAGCTCCTGGCTCCTGGCTTAGGCCTAGCCCAGCCCCAGCCATCGTGGCCATTTGGGATGGCCAGCAGATGGAAGATCTCTCTTTCTCTCCCCCTCTATGTAACGCTGATTTTCAACATAAATGAATAAATTTTAAAAAGGAAAAGAGAAAGAATGGCGGCAGGGCCTTTGCATAGTGGTGCACACGGTACTTGGGAGGCCTACATCCTGTATCAGAGCGCTGGTTTCAAGTCCCGGCTCCACTTCTTGTTCTAGTTCTCTGCGAATGTACACCCCAGGAGCAGCAGGTGACAGCTTGGATCACTGGTTCCCTGCCACTGACTTGGGAGACTGGACTGAATTCCCAAGCCCAGCTTTGGCCTTGCCCAGCGCTGGCTGTTGCTGGCATCTGGGGAGTGAACCACAAGATGGACGTTCTCTCTGTCTCTGTCTTTCAAAGAAATAAAAATGAGTTCTGACACCTTTATAAAGCAGCGGCAGAAACCACCTCCCCCGCGTGTAGAAGGGTGAGCCTGCGCTGGGTTCCATATTTGGTCCCTAAGACGTGAAGCGGTTATGGCTGCTGTTGTTAGACTTGCTTTCTCACCAGTAGGACCTCTGGGATTTCACTCCACACCTCTCCAGGCAACCTCCCTCCCCATTCCAGCACCCAGGAAGCAGATGGGCACCCACACTCGGCCTTCCCCAGACGCCTGCTCTTCCGCCCACTCACCACTCGCAGCTGGTGATGGTGTGGTCGACCACAGTGCCAGGGGCGGGCGTGACGAAGTGCTCGGCCGCAGCCAGGTACAGGTTGGTGCTGATTTTCTTCTGCACCACGAACACCACCATCTTGGGCTGGTAATTCTCAAAGGCCTCAAAGCACTTCTGCAGCTGAGGAATCTCATAGTTGGCCACGGTCTTCAGCTGCCCGTCAGACACCCCATCGCGGTACACCACGATCTTCTCCGGCAGGCAGTGGTTCACCTGAAACGACACTGTCCGTGAACAGCCTCCCGGGGCCCGGGGCTGAGCTCCGCAGAGACAGGCTCACTCCGATCGCTCGCACGACCTGGGGACGCAGCAGCCTGCCCAACGCTTCAGTGTCTGCAGAGCGGGGGGAGCCTCTGGGCATTCCTAGCCTGGTCTAAAACAGGCCTGGTGCAGCAAGGGTGTTGCAAAACAAAGCAGGCAAGGATGAGTCACAGCTCCACAGCTCCCCTCAGACAGAGTGGACAAAGTTAGGGGTGGTGGTCAAATGACAGGCTGAACCATCTTCCTTCTGCCTGGACTGAACGCTAACAACTGCTTCGGCAAAGAACAAGATAGGTGTTAGGGAAATGCTAACATCTCACCACGGTACTAGAGTAAGTTCAGTTGCTTTTGACATGGGAAGTTCCCTTAACAGTTCTTTGGGTTCTTTAGTTTTGGGGGTGGGTGTTGGGCACAGTGGTTAAGATACAGTGTAGGGGTGGGCGCCGTGGTGTGTAGGTTAAGCCGTGGCCTGGATGCCCACATCCTGTGTCAGAGTGCCTGGTCTAAGTCCCGGATATTCTGTTTCTGATCTACTTTCCTGCTACTGTGCAACAGACGAGGGCTCAAGCAGTCGGGTCCCCGGCACCCACGTGGGAAGCCGAGATTGAATTCCGGGCTCCTGGCTTTGGCCTGGCTGTCGCAGGCAACTGGGGAGTGAACCAGCAGATAAAAGACCTCTCCCCGTCTGTCTTTCTCCCTCTACCTCGCAAATAAAAATGAAAAGAAAAAATACTCTTTTGATTCTACGTGAATGTGGTTCATTCTAGGTTTTTGTTCACAACTTCCCTCAAAAACTTACAGTATGCATTAAGTTTCAGTATGAATTAAATATGTACATAGTATTCTTATGTTACTGATAGGAAAATTTTATTTCAAAGAACCTTTTTAGGAATAAATAGCTGGAATCTTCTTGAACTTGACATTCACCGTTCCAAATATCTCACAAAGGCCCCCTTTTCTCCTGAGTCTTCAAGGCCTACATTTCCAAACACCTAATTCATCTCCACAGCCTTGAGACTCAACTCACTGCCCTACTTTCCACGTTTCTTCATGTCTAGCACCTGCTGCACATTTCGGGGATCACAGCACTTGAGGCTCCTCTGCCTGCACTACGACACAGTCTGCTGCGACTGCTGGTTCAGGCGTCCTGCCCTAGCGAAGGGCTGCGCGCCCTCAGCACTAAGGCACCTGGGCAGGTAACTCCTGCAGTGTTGGGGCACTACCGGGCAGGTAACTCCTGGGCTGGGAGCTGTCCTGTGCTCGTGACACCCACGGAAAGCAGCGCCCATGGTCCTCTACACTGAACGCCAATGGCAGTCTCGCAGCTCCGGCCAGAAATGTCTCTAGACCTTTCCCACTGGAAGGACAAGGCTGCCCTCAGGTGAGAAGCACCAGAGGAAGCCACCACACATAGACGACGCAGCCACGTGACCCTCCATGCTCTCAGTCTCCAGGAGCAGCGCTGGGCTCGCTCTTTGAGTGGCAGCGCTTCCTCGGGAGCCAGCCCCACTCGGGCCCTTTCCCACGGGCTCCGCCTCCCACCAGCATTGAGTTCCCCAGATCCCTCAGTTTCCCTCCTGCACACTCACACACTTTCTCGTAGACCCCCAGCCGACAGCTCTGCTAAGAGGGTGGTACCACGTACTCAGGTCTGGAAGGCACAGCCATTTTACAGAGGAGGAGACAGTACAGTGGATCCAGTCAGAAGACCTAGAACCGAGTCTGACTCCATGGCTCCTTAACTATGACCTTGGAGACTCCTAACTATGACCTTGGAGACCTATGCTCCTAACTCTGACCTTGGAGACCCCATTTCCCCAGCTGAAAAAATGGAAAAAAATTATCTCTTCACCTTTGTATCACGGCTAAGGGGGATAAAGTAAAATTATATATACCACCCATATATTTTCATATAACTAAAAAACTGTATACGAAGTAGAAACAGGGCTTGATCAGGGAACTACAGATATTCTGAAGTACAGAGCAGAGCTATAATGAAATCAATGGAATGAAAAACAGAAATTAAATCTGTCAGAATAGTCACTGACATCACCCCCTTCTCTGACATGTGCTAACTAGATACTGAGTGTGAAGCACTACATTAGGCCTTATGAAAGCTTCCAGCAGAACACCAAAGACATGGCTTCAGGTACCAAGGAGTAGGAAAACTAAAAATAATCAAGGGTTTGATTTGCTGGGTCATCCAGTCTACTTCACTCCACAAAAAGGCTTAAGCAAGACGAACCACAAGACCCAGACGTAAGTGCTAAGTTTGTGTAATAAAACCACTTCAGCGCTCTGCAGATACAACAGTAAGGTGGCGAACTCCTGGAGAGCAGCCAGTGTTGAGGTCTCCCTGTGTGGCTCCATTCGTTCACAGAACACACACTTGATGCTGACCTGGTAAGAGCCGCGCACCTGTCTCAGAAACTTAAAGCATGATTTCGATACTATACAAATCCTCAGGGAACTCAAGTTAGAACTAGGGAGACAGATCAGTAAACACCCTTCCTAGACAACACACGGGGGTAGGTGTTTGTGGGGCAGCAGGTTAAGCTGCCGGCTGCAAGTCGGCATCCCACATGGGCACGGGTTCAAGTCTCAGCTGCTCCACGTCCAATCCAACTCCCTGCTAAAGTGTCTGGGAAAGCCAGCAGGAGACAATTCAAGTCCTTGGGTCACTGCACCCACATGGGAGACCCAGATGGGAGTTCCAGGCTCCAGGCTTTGGCCTGGTTCACCCCAGCCACTGTGGCCATTTGGGGAGTAAACCAGCAGGTAGAAGATCTCCTCATTCTCCAAATAATTCTTCCATTCTTTAAAAAGAAGTTAAAACACCACCATAAAGGAGTTAGTTAAACTGCTGTGGGAATGGAAGAGTGGAAGGGATTAACTCCCTGGTGAAGAAACGGTGCCATGGAAGAACGAGGCAACAAGTTGGGTGGCAAACAAGGATGAAGGAGTAGGAGGGGCAGAGGTCTAAATGATGCTTAGACGGGTTAGGAAATCAATGGCGCTCAACCTGTGTCATCCATCGGTCCTACTTCAGAAACATTACTCTAGCAACAAACTACGAAACAAACTGAAGTGTAAGAATCGATAGTAAGAGATCACCTCCAGTTTAAGATGTTAAGACAGACAGTCTTCATTTTCAGGGTAACATCATAGAAATAAAACAAAAATCACACATATCTGTGGGACTACTGCAGACACGCCAATGCAAGACAGGCTTGATATAACAATCTCTGGAGAGAGGAGCTTTCCCAGGGCAGCAGTGAACCTCTGAAGCTCCCAGGGCCAACGGCAGAGGAGAATGTAGGCAGGAGAGGCCCGAGCACGGAGAAACGGTACCAGGTCAGAAAGAGGCCAAACTACTAGCAACGGTGGGGGCCGGAAAGGCAGACTGGAGTCTGGAAGATCACCCAAAACAATAATCATTAGCTTAAGGTAACCCTCCACCCAAACCTCCTCCCATTTCTGCCAAGAAGTGAGGCTGAAACTGAGCAAGAATCAACACAGTCTCACATACTCCCGGCTGCCTGGATAATCCAATGTCAAAAGCAAAACCTTGGCCCACTTCCTCCCTGCTCCAGGGCCAGACGCCAGTCTCGTCTAACTCCTAGGAAACAGCAGCAGAGACCGAAATAACCAGAGCTGAAGTCAACATTCTTTCTTTAAGATTTTTATTTATTTGAGAGGTGGTCTACAGAGAGGGAGACAGCAAGAAAGGTCTCCGTCTGCTGGTTCACTCCCCAAATGGCCCCACCTGCCAGAACCGGGCCGATCCGAAGCCAGGATCCAGGAGCTTCCTTCAGATCTCCCAAGTGGGTGGGTGGGGGCCAAGTACTTGGGGCATCTTCCACTGCTTTCCCAGGCCATTAGCCGGGAGCTAGCCTGGACTTGGACCATCATCCACATAGGATGTTGGAGGCGGAGGCTTAGCCTACTACGCCATAGCGCCGGCCCCCAGAGGTCAATATTCTATGGATCAAATCACACGTGGTCACTAATGCTCCATGGAAGACAAGGCAGACGCAGCCGTCAAGGACGTACTGTTTTGATTTTCACACCCAAATGGGAGGAAGCACTGACGTTCAGAGTTACAAGCTGGGTATGAGCGTCCCCCAGATGCAAGGCAGCCAAGTGGGCAGCTGGACACATGGTCCAGGAGCTCCGTGGGCAGCCGGACACATGGTCCAGGAGCTCCGTGCATGTCGTGAGCTGGAGCAGTGATTCCCACTGCATACTCCGGGGAGACCCATCCCAGCCCCTGCTCCAGAGGGGTCCTAAGACATTGTCACAAACTCCACAAGAGCCAAATTCCTTCCGTCATTCTGGCAGCATCTCCCTGGCCTTTTCCCTTTCATTCTTTCACACACACACGACAGGATTTTCCAGACAGTAAATGGTGCACGGCATCACGGCAGGTTAAATGTGGAAGAATATTTATCCACATTTTATTAACTGGTCACTAAAGGCATTTGGCTAAATTTTTTGCAAAATGTCAAACAACAGCACCGTTCTCATCAAAACTTATTAAAAATGGTCTCTGTATTAACATGTACTAAGTTCACTGCTTTTTGTTTAAAGATTTTTTTACACACCTGAAGGCAGAATGACAGAGCGAGAATCAGAAAGAAAGAGAGGTATGTTCCTTTGGCTGGATCACTCCCCAAATGGCTACAACAGGTAGGTCTGGGCCAGGCTGAAGTCAGGAGCCAGTAACTCCACCCATGACTCCCATCTGGGGTGGTGGGGATCCAAGCACTTGGGACATCTTCTGTTTCTTTCCCAGCTGCATTAGCAGGGAGCTGGATTGGAAGCTGAGCAGCCAGCACCTAAATCCAACAGTCTTACATGGCACCACAAGTGGTGGCTTAACCAGCTATGCCACAAGACTGGCCACTCTACTACCACCACCATTTAAGATCTATTTATTTGAAAGGGATAGA